AAAAAAAAAAAAACCCCTTCATTTTCTAACTTTTCTTATCCAAACGTATGCATCTTGTCAAATACCAAGAGGTCCTTAAAACCTTTAGCCAGTCGCCTAAATGTCTACCTATTATGTTACTGTATAGTTTGAACCTGTTTGCTGCTATCTTCAGTGCATAGTTAGATATCCAAGAAGTCAAAAAGTAACTTCAAGGATTGGAAAATTTCAGTTCGGAGGCAAGCGGATAGGGATTGTTGGATTTGGGAAGATCGGCTCTGAAGTTGCTAAAAGGCTTGAAGCATTTGGCTGCAACGTTTTATACAACTCGAGGAACGAAATGCCCTCCATCTCGTACCCCTTCTATTCCACTATTCGAGATCTTGCAGAGAATAGTGATGCCATCGTCTTATGTTGTAGCTTAACTACCGAGACACGCCAAATAGTTGGCAAAGAAGTATTATCGGCCTTGGGGAAAAATGGAGTGATTGTTAACGTAGGACGCGGGGCTCTTATAGATGAGAAGGAGCTAGTAAGATGCTTGGTTGCAAGGGAAATTGGAGGTGCTGGTTTGGACGTGTTTGAGAATGAACCTAATGTTCCAGAGGAGCTCTTTGCACTGGATAATGTTGTTCTTTCTCCACACGTATCTGCATATACACCAGAGTCTTTTGAGGCTGCTGCTGAATTTGCCATTGCAAATCTGGAAGCTTTCTTCTCAAACAAACCCTTACTCAGCCCTATCACAATTGACTGAAAACATCTTTTGGATAGGGATTTCAGTTAACAATTGACATTTGGTTGTGCTAACCAATTATCTGTTACTGCCAAAACATTCCCCTAAATGAGTGTGGGTTTTCGAAAGTCATATTTTTTTTCCAGATCTTTTTTTTTCGGACTATTATTTTGTTTTAGGGTTTTTTTAATGTGAATATTTTTTAGAAACTATTTAAGGGTATTTTTTGTCTTTTTGTTTCATTTCTTTTTTCGTTTACAAAGTACCAAGGGGTGAAAATGAAATAACTTTTACATATTTAAATGATAATTTTGTTGTTTCACATCAATTGAGAAAAACTTAAAAGTAAGAGGTCTATTTTTATAATTAAATTTAATTTTAAATGTGTTAGAGAGACTTAAAAAAAAGAAAAAAGGAAAAAACTAGGGAAATGACCCCTTTCTTTACCACCATTTTTAATAAATGGTTGTACTTTTTATTTCTTAGACAAAAGATCGATTTTATTACCTTTTTTTGTGTGTGTGGAAATTGACCATTTTATATAGTAATTAATTAGTGATAAATTATAATTAATCGATAATAAATCAATTTATCATTAATTATTAATAGTTTATTATTGATAAACGGTTAATGTACTGACTGAATTTGATTAATTATTAATTGATATTAGTTAATAACTTATTGATATTGATTAATCTTTAAGTTAATCAGTGATAAATTAAAATAGTTAATAAAAAAAAGCTATTCCCCTAGTATTACAAAACTTCAATAATTTATAAAATAAAATAAAAACCATAAAAACTATCATTTACTTATAAATC